TGCGTGAACTGCCTCCACTTCAACCCCCCCCCCCGCCTATCTCCCCCCAATCTCTGCCCTTTTGGCTGCCCTACACAGCATGGCCAAGATGAAAAGGCCACTGTATCCTGCTGCCACTGCCTACCTGCTGCCTCTTCTTTCAACCACCAAAGAACTGGTATAGTCAGTGTAGAAAGCTGAAGTACAACAGAGTTAGAATAGCAGACTTGTTTTAAATCCCGAAACAAAATCAAAACCAAAATTGTAGTCATGAGTACCACGTAATTCTCTTTTTAAACAGTTGAGTAACTTTAAAATGTGATTGATAACTATTTCAAAAAGGAAACATAACAATTATATTTAGAGGTACTGCTTTGATACTTTAATTTGTAAATACTGTAATTCTTTACTTACAATTCCTGGATGATTTCTGCATATAAAATTGTACTTTTGTCAAATGAAGAAGTATTCTGAGGTCTGCAGGGTGCCATATGTGAGAACTTCCTGAAAACATGTCATTAATTGTGCAGGATTTATTCTTTCAGGCAGTATTTAGACTGAACTGTGATCGTTGAATCTACTTCATTTTTTAAAAAATCAGCAGTATTAAAACATCCTTTATAGGGTTGAATGGTTAAGCAAAATTAATTTTAAAAAACATTGAATTTATAAGCATTAACTTTAAAATTACTGAAATTATAAATATTTATTGATCAAATATAGTTCCTTTTAAATTAATGTTGGGAATGTATTGCTTTGTTTCACTTTTGTGTCACCTCATAGAGAATTTTAACTTCTTTACCATCTGCCCTTTGTTTAACAGATGTATTATTGCAGTCCAAATGTATTCATTCACATTACCTTGAAATTATTTTTCAGTTAGTTATTTGAAATAGCTGTGTTGGATGCAATTTTATTTCTGGATATTATATAGGTCATTAAAGCATAATGGAAAGGCTGGCCTCTATGTAAAAGATTAAAAGTAATTTTTTTCATATTGTATTTAGGTCTCACAATTGGAAAGAAGAATAATGGACTTTGAAAAAGAATCCAGGAAGTTGAAAGAAATTAATAAAGGGTTAGTTAAGGATAAAAGTGACCTGAAAATATTGCTTAAGCAGCATATAGACGATGTAGGGGCCAGAGAAAAGGAGTTGAAGATACTTGTGGAAAAGATCACAGAAGCAAAGGAGGACAAAGCAAAGCTTCAGTCAATAACAGATAGATTGGAAAAAGAGGTCACCTCTCTGAAGAGGCAAGTGGCAGAAGGAAATTCCTTGAAAAATGAAAACGAGGATTTGCTGAGTCAAGTGAAGCAACTGCAGAGCTTACTGGACAGAGCAAAAATGGCTGACTTAAAGGCCACAGTGGAAACAGCTTGTGGACAATGTAGGCATAAGAGTACAGGTGCCAGTGTCAAACTGAAAACAGGAAAGAAAAAGAGCTTAGTGGAACATCAGTCTCTTTGCAATCAGTCCATCAAGGTTATGAGTGGTGCATTTCAGAACTTCAGTAAGGACGGCTGGGAGGATATGAGTGAAAGCAGGTACGGCTCTCATTAACTTAGCTCTGTAGAAGGGACACTGTGCATATGTAAAACACTAGCAAATAGAAATTGAATTTCAACTACTGTCGATTTGGTATGCAGAAAAAATACTGTCAGAGTCTTTGAAATATCTTGGGAGGTCTTGTTCTGAGTTTATTGACTGAAATTTGCATGCAAAATTAGCCACAACTGCATGAGTATTTGAATAGGTGCCAGGAAACCCAAAAGAAGGCAATGCTTGATTTCTTCTAGTGATGCTATTTTCATGCAGTCATGAGGCTTGAAATTGACAGTTTGGCAGGTTGATTTAATTTGCTGGCCCTTTGCATATTCACTGCTGACAGCTAAGGATTCCCAAGCAAGCCTATGAAGTCAGTTTAGTTATCTTGTGACATGCCGACCCAGGAGGAGAAACATTTTCCCCCTTAATTTGGTTAGATAAATTTTGAATGACCCATTTCATCTTGCTACCAGATGTCTACAAGCTGTTTTATGTCCTTTAAATTAAGGACCATCCACACTAATTATTTCATGTATGTTTTATGCACAGTCATTGTACTAACTTTAATTGAATGATTGCTGAAAATTAGTTCTGTAACCATAAGTATAACTCCATAGGTGTGAGATCCCACAACTCAAGAAAAGTTATTTCTAAGATTTAAATAATGTGTCTTATAGTGATTTCATAAGCTCTAAGAGACTATGAGTGCAAAGTTTCTTAGCTTTCCACTTGATTCTACTTTATTTACATAATTCAGAGACAACCAGAGATATTGTTCAGACAGGCCTTATGTTGGACTTTTTAGTTTTTAGATTGATATCCTGCCTTTTCTTCAGGGGTCAAAGCATGAGTGTATGTATGGATGGATTTTTTTTAAAACCTGCCAAAATCAGATAACTTTCAGCAGCTTACAAGATTATCCAATACATTAAAATACCTGTGAAAAAATAGCTTTTCTTCCCATTTTTCTCCATGCAATAACCCTAGCAGGTAGGTTTTTCTGAAAACGAATGATTCTTCCAAAATCATTCAGTGAGCTTCTACAGTTGAGGGTGGACATGAATCTGAGTCTCCCCGGTCCTAGTCCAACACCTTAAACTGTTCATCATAGACACTGTCCACTGTGTTAATTGCTAATTAATTAATTAATTAATAGTAACCTCTGGATAACCAGATATGGTTTAGCTTTTATATAAGAAAGAAAGAAATCTTACTAGTTCTCATTTGTAGAACTTTAAGCTTTGTATATTACTCAAGTTCAGCTATTTATAATTTAGATTTATGAAAATAGTAAGGTTGATTTGGACAATATTTGCTTTAAACAAATGAACATATTGATCTGAGTCACAGTTATCTTAGTTTGCATAACCATGAATAAATCATAATTGGTTGGTTTCATACAATATAATAATCTAGAGATGATGGTTTATAAACAATAATGACCAAGTTTAAACAACATTTTAAACCCAAACCAAACAATATGTCAATCATATAGTTGCCTATTCAGTTCTTTCTTTGCTATTGCAACTTACTTGTGGTTAGAGGAAATGGAAGCATGAAAATCATTCAAATTATGGAAAGGTAGGCACTATTTGACAACTGGGGCCTAGTTTTGTTTTTTTTTTAGATTTTTTATCCCACCTTTATTATTTTTTATAAATTTTATTTATTTATTTATTT